GGATATTGACAGGAGAAACTGCCCTTATTGTCCCCTGATATGATGGGTTTGTATTGGTTGACATGTTTGACGAGCATATTGACAGGAGAAACTGCCCTTATTGTCCCCTGATATGCTGGGCTTGGAATAGATGACATGTTTGACGAGCATATTGACAAGAGAATCTGCCCTTATTGTCCCCTGATATGCTGGGTTTGTATTTGATGACATGTTTGATGAGCATATTGACAGGAGAATCTGCCCTTATTTTCCCCTGATATGCTGGGGTTGTATTAGATGACATGTTTGATGAGCATATTGACAGGAGAATCTGCCCTTATTGTCCCCTGATATGCTGGGGTTGTATTTGATGACATGCATTAAGTTGTGTTATTTTCACTTTGGTCCACAATAAATGTTTGCCTGTTACTCTCCCTTACAGGAAGTCAGACCTAGAAAGGTGACGAAGCATGCAGACTTCTCTGTTGATTGGTCGAAATTTTGCGTTATTGTTTCTGTCCGGTCCAAATTTAACTGTTCTCGTCTCTGTCCCTGACTTGCCATATGCTTAGCGTATTGGTCCTAAATAAGTATCGGAGGATCTGTTTTTGGTATCATGACCATGATTTTATTGCAAATGGGAAACAATACTTTTTGGAAAAAAAATCGATTATTTTGCATTAGGTTCTGCAGTTTGGCATTTTAGATTAATGGTACATGTTCTATGTATTTGGAATCAAATACTTATTTTTATTGAACACATCTTGTATAAGGTACACTGTCATATGCAATTGAAGAACTAGTTATTAATTAAGTATTTGTGTGAAAAATCTTGTAATTTCAAACTACTGACAATGTCTATCTGATAACTTTTACTTTAAATGTATCAAATTGACTTAAACAATTAAAACTAGTTGAAATTAGAAGCCAGATTTTTTTTCAGAATTAGCTTGGGGATAAATAACATATAGAAAACACAAAAGTAAAAATCTTGTCAGAATTTTTCAAGATAAACCTGGGGATAAGAAATATATAGAAAATAAGGAAATAAAAATCTCCCTGAACTTTTTTCAGAGTAAACCTGGGGACAAATACTGTGTAGAAAGTATTGAAAAGTCCCCAGTTATCTGTATTGATGAACCAAATAAAACTTTACAGAAATAGATTGTTTAGGGGAGGTGTGAGAATCAATTTCTTTAGCCTTAATTCAGCTGAACTCTATTTCTTAGACCTTGTTGTTACTGAACAAAGCTATTTTTAGCTGTGACAAATTGAATCATTATTTTTTTTTCTGCTTTTGGCTATCTAGGATTATTGAGAAATAGAAATGAATCTTTGTTCATTCAGAAATTGTATTGTGTCAAACAGCTATATTGATTAGATTCTCTTATACAAAATAGTGTCTGCAAAATTTCTAATTATTCTGCAGATAAATTGAGGAATGTTTCCTTCCAAATCTGGCAATATCACCCCGGGACCTGAGCATGAGACCAGTTTGATGTTGTTGATGTGTTGAATTTGTTGATTTTGTTTTGTGTTTGTTTTGCATTCGAGGTTATTTTTGTTACAGTGGACATTGGGTGTATTGCAGACCCTTTTCTGGGAGAACCAACCAAATTCTAATTTACAAGGCCGTGAAATTCAGGGAAAGGCTATTTTTATTAAGGATGTATGCTGCATTATGTAGAAATTTATCTCCTTTCAAAAGTTCCAAACTAACAAACTTTGTAAAATATCTCGAGTTATTGATGGAAGATACAACAGCATTATAAATAATAAAGGGAGATAACTGCAACACAAATCATAAAGTACAAAACATTTTCTCTCAGCAAATGGTCCAAAAATAAGTGAAAAACACATGAAATAAAAAAAGGAGGTTAAAACATGGTTCGATTTGGCACAACATTAAAAAGTCAGCACTGTTTCTTAGTTCACCAACCAGGTAATACTTCTGGATTCAAATATAAACTCAATCGATGGTGCCTACTTCAGTCACCCTATTAGGTGACCTTGCTTAAGATTTCTACTCCTAGAAGAGGAATCTCTACGTGAGTGTCCACTGTTGGTTACCTATTAAAGGTTTCTTTGTGTGTAGTATCACAGAGTTTTGTACAGTTTTGTACTGTGTACTCAGGCTGTATAACAACTCATTCAGGCAATCAGTTTAGGTGTTTAGGGGCTGTATAACAACTCGTTCAGGCAATCAGTTCAGTTGTTTAGAGGGGTCGTCGGTTGCCTTTACCACACAGCCAGGGTTTGATTCCCTGATCAGATGTGAGAAGGTACGGGGTCACCTGCCCGACCACATGGGTTTTCTCCAGGTACTCTGTCTACCTCCCACATTAAGTCCCACTGCACAGTTTTGTTTGGGCCAACAAGAATGATTAATATCAAAGTTGTATAGGAACACTTCACTATATTGCCCATTGTTTTGTCTGCCACCTTCCTTACCACCAACATAGTTCAGGGTCCTTCTTTACTATAGAACCTGGTTGCCTGGATCTGTGCCAACTGAGTGGTATTTAGTGGCAGTCATTAGTAATATGTGTTGCACCAATCCAAATGTATACATCTGCATGTGACAGTAACACAACAGAAGTAAGACCTACCTTACACTGCTACTAGGACAGTAGCATGTAGCAACACACACACTGAGCTTTGTAATATAAGCACATGCTAGAGATATGTTTCCTGAATGTTACAGATGAGAATCTTTTTCACAAGTGTTAGCCACCGAAAAGTGAGGTCAAAGTAAAATACCAGAGTTCTCCTCCTGGATCAGAGATTATTATTTTGGGAACTAACATTTTTTGTAGCCTTTTAGGAGTCAGATTTATTATAAAGTTGTTAATTTATATACAAAACAAATGGAAATTACTAAGAATTTTATAGCAAATAATTAAAAATAGTTTGTAAATAGATATGTATAAAGAGGGAAGTTGTTTTAGATGAGGGAGATTAGAGAGAGAAAGTCTTCCAAAGTGGTGGATTGTGTCTGTCCCTTGGAGATTAGAGAAAGAAAGTCTTCGAGAGTGGTGGATTTTGTCTGTCCCTGGGAGATTAGAATGAGAAAATCTTCGAGAGTGGTGGATTGTGTCTGTCCCTGGGAGATTAGAGAGAGAAAGTCTTCGAGAGTGGTGGATTGTGTCTGTCCCTGGGAGGTTAGAGACAGAAAGTCTTCGAGAGTGGTGGATTTTGTCTGTCCCTGGGAGAATAGAGAGAGAAAGTCTTCGAGAGTGGTTGATTGTGTCTGTCCCTGGGAGATTAGAGACAGAAAGTCTTTGAGAGTGGTGGATTTTGCCTGTCCCTGGGAGATTAGAGAGAGAAAGTCTTCGAGAGTGGTGGATTTTGTCTGTCCCTGGGAGACTAGAGAGAGAAAATCTTCGAGAGTGGTGGATTGTGTCTGTCCCTGGGAGGTTAGAGACAGAAAGTCTTTGAGAGTGGTGGATTTTGTCTGTCCCTGGGAGATTAGAGAGAGAAAGTCTTCGAGAGGGGTGGGTTTTGTCTGTCCCTGGGAGAATAGAGAGAGAAAGTCTTCGAGAGAGGTGGATTTTGGCTGTCCCTGGGAGATTAGAGAGAGAAAGACTTCGAGAGTGGTGGATTTTGTCTGTCCCTGGGAGATTAGAGAGAGAAAATCTTCGAGAGTGGTGGATTGTGTCTGTCCCTGGGAGATTAGAGACAGAAAGTCTTCGAGAGTGGTGGATTTTGTCTGTCCCTGGGAGAATAGAGAGAGAAAGTCTTCGAGAGTGGTGGATTGTGTCTGTCCCTGGGAGAATAGAGGGAAAGTCTTCGATAGAGGTGGATTTTGTCTGTCCCTGGGAGATTAGAGAGAGAAAGTCTTCGGGAGTGGTGGATTTTGTCTGTCCCTGGGAGAATAGAGAGAGAAAGTCTTCGAGAGTGGTGGATTTTGTCTGTCCCTGGGAGAATAGAGGGAAAGTGTTCGAGAGAGGTGGATTTTGTCTGTCCCTGGGAGATTAGAGAGAGAAAGTCTTCGAGAGTGGTGGATTTTGTCTGTCCCTGGGAGAATAGAGAGAGAAAGTCTTCGAGAGAGGTGGATTTTGGCTGTCCCTGGGAGATAAATTCCTCTGGAGGAGGGAGAAATGGTAAAAAGAATTGGGGAGCTTGCTTCATATCACAAGACCAGAACTAAACGTTTGAAAGACTAATAAGAAAATTAGATACATGCTATATGATAAGTTCAACTTCCGTTATTTAGGAAAGTTTACCAATGAGAGTGATGTCATGCTGCAACATAAATGTATATATCAGGAAAGTAAGGTAGCACCAGATTTGAATAACTTATCCGCCTTCTTTGCTTATGATGAGGGGTGGATATGTACATAACATGCATGTGGGTTGTATTGTATAGCAGAATTCCATTCAACAAGCTATACAATTCCTTCAGTATGTATACGTAATGGAGGATCACATTATGCATACTTGCCAACTCTTACTATTTTTGAGGAAGACTCCTGTTTTTTGGACATGTAATATTTTCAACCTGAACCAGTGAATTGTCTTCAGTACAGTATTCCTATATTCTAAAATCTAATTACCCAGGTATTTTATCCAGAAGAACCACACATTAATACCATTGTAAAAGAGATATTTTCCCCTTGGATGAACAAACACACATTAATGCCATTGTAAAAGAGATATTTTCCCCTTGGATGAACAACCCACACATTAATACCATTGTAAAAAAGATATTTTCCCCTTGGATGAACAACCACACATTAATGCCATTATAGAAGAGATATTTTCCCTTTGGATGAACAACCACACTATTTATTTATGTTTTCAATTTAGTGCACGCAGAATCTCCTCCATGGAAATATCAAAAGGTTGGCAAGTATGTATGTGATGACAAAATAAACTCTATTTCAATCCTAAATTATCCAATGGATTAGGGAAAACATGACACACAATAAATGGATTTGATGATTATTTGATATTTCCAATTACTTTTTAAGAAATTCCTCCTCATTGAAGATAATGCTGAATGTTTGCTCTTCTTTCAGATTGTGACGGATGGTCAGAGTTATGTTGATGAGTATGGAAACACGACAGATTCTTCAGGAAGAATGAATGTGACATCACCCTTACCTGCAACCTCCAACATGAGCACGTCACAGTTGTCTGTGAGATCCGACGACAATATGTCAGTTGCCTCGGATGTATCAGGTCGGGATCGTCCAGGCCGACAAGCCTTGGATATCAGTAGCCCTGGGACTCTGTCCACTTTCTCCGCGGCTAAGTCTGACCGTAGTGCTTCCACACTATCTGTCCAGTCACGGTCAGATGATGACATATCGATGTCTTCCGGCACTATGGACTCCAAAGGCTCTGGAAAGAGGATAAAACCCAAACGAAAGGCACCAAAGCCTCCTGTTGATGCTACTGGAGGAAGTAAACTGCCAACCCCAATCAAACCAACACGGCAGGCACCAGCCCCTACAGGGCAGAACCACTCCACCCCGGAACAACGAGGGATCAGTGATGTCCTGGGTGTAGGCAAACAGGAACCTTGTGTCACCAAGGTTGTAAGTGAATTTCCTAAGGTGGAAATTAGTATAACACAGAACAGCCCTGTGGAAAAACCGAAAAAACCAGCTGTTCCGAAAAGATTTGTGAAACCGAAATTAGTGAAAGTTCCACGTAGGAAATTAGACATGAAAAAAGCGTCGGATCAAAGGACCAATCAGGCAACGCGTTCACCCCCGCCTCCTCGTCCCCCGCCCCCTAAAGTGCTACTTCATTCCCCGTCCAGTGCCGCTAGTACACCAAACATGACAGCTGAGGAAACCACGTCCCTAGAGAACACATCCGCCATGTCTGGGTTCAAACAGCTGGAGGACCAAAGTGGTAGTCTGTACAAAGACATGAATATAACATCAATGTCAGCCAATGAAAGCTTGACCCATGACTGGACAAAAGAGGACAGTGTTCACCTACTCCCAAAACTACAGAGACAAAACGCCTTGTTAAGTGACGAGAAACCCTTTGGTGATGACACGGACGTCATGACCACGATACCAGTTGGGTTGGGCGACCCGGACGTCGTGACCACGATACCAGTCGGGTTGGGCGACATGGATGTAATAGATGGACCGGTGAATTCTAAACACCAAACTTACATCGTTGAGGAGGTGAAGCCCAAGGCTTCCAGGATTCCACAGTTTAATAGACAGAACAGTGGGCAAGCTACACCAAGTCCAGACCGCGTTGTACCACAAAGTTCTGACCCGATGTACAGCCAAATCCCTGACGAACAGTTTAACCCTGATTCCATCACAAATTGTTTGGATTCATACAGGCCACAAACATTGCAGACATTTAGCCCAGCACCAACTCAAAGTTCTGATAAAGGATATACCAATAGCCCTGTGGCCATTCAAAATCCTGTTGAACGATATGACGTAGACCCTACGGCGACTTACAGCCAGATTCATGTGGTACCCGGTAAAACCAATGGCTATGATAGTGTCCCTGTTAGTCCTTTAATCAAGTCTGATGACAATTTCTCACAGAGTCCTACAAACAATAGTAAAGTGGGTGATTCTAGGGACAGGAGTCCTACAAGCAATGCCCGTGACAGTATCGTGTTGGAGGAATCTCCAAATGTTGTTTATTCTCCGAATGTCAAAAGCAATCACGTGAATGAGACTCATGATTTCCCTGATGAAAGTGGTGATGATATGGACAAAAGTTTGGATGCTGATGCGCAAACAAAAATACCAAAAGCTAGACCCCCGGTCGCACCGAAACCAAAAGGAATACCTCAACCTAAGATCCACTATAGACCAGACACAAGTTCTGAGGAGGTCAATACAAGCCCTGACAGGAAAGTAACACAGGAGTCGCCCTCTGTAAAGAGGAGGGAAATAGGTCAAAAATCAAAGTCATCATCTTCTCCATCTAAAGAGGAGAATAAAGGTAGCCCAGAAAAAAGACATGTACAAGAATCCCCAGCATCCCGAAGGAAAGCTGGAGGTCAAAGGTCAGGTACGATGAACTCTCCTGCAAGGGAGGGGAGATCAGGTATTCCTGTCAGTGACTCTCCTACCAGGGAGGTAAAATCTGGCATTCCAGTCAATAGCTCACCAGGAAAGGAGGTGAAGTCGGGAATCCCTGTTAACAATAAATCACCAAAGAAACCAAGGAACAGAAGTAATGAGAGGGCCATACCTGTGCGCCAGAACATTGGGGGAAACAGTGGAGGCAACAAGTCCAAAACTAACTCACAAAATGGAAATACTCAAAACCAGGATTCACCCAAAATCAAACCACAGCGTCCCAATAAACCTCCGGAAACAAACAAGAAATCAAACGGAAAAGCTGATTCTAGTCCGAGCAGGTTGCCCAAGTTGTCCTCTTTCCGATCGCCTAGTCCTCAGGCAAAAGACAATGATGATAAAGTGATCAGTCCACCGAAAAAACGATCTATACCAGTAGCCAAACCTGCCCGACCACCCCCACCTAATTCCCCTCCAGCCAGCCCAGAAATAAAAATCTCCTCAAAGGGAGATAACCAACCATCATCTGGATCATCTTTCTCAAGCTTCGGTAAAATGAATGGAGTAAATGATAAGCAAACGGACTTAAGGTAGGTTTATGAATGTACAAGCTTTTGTTGTTGTTTTAAAGTCTGAACTGAATCATGTATCAATGGCACACAGTTGACAATTAAGTTAGCCACAATCCATAAATATCATTAAAAGACTATGTTATGGTCAGATTAGTTATCAAGCTAGTGGGAAACCCATTAAATCAATGGCTATTAGACTAATATGATGGGAATGATTAATGGCCAAAAAGGAATGAGCTTTGTACCTTTATTTTATAAGCCTAGTAATGGTAGAAGGCTAGCGCTGTTAATGACCATGGAAATTCTATTAAATATTGATGGCCATTATTAAGCCTTCTAAACTAAAATATTTTGTCAGTAATTTCAATTCAAATGCTTGACATATAAGCAGTATATTGAAATTGAAATCAAGAATTCAATAATACAGTGTTTGGAAATGTTAGATAGACAATTGAGAACGAAATCGTAGTCTCTTATATGTATACATATATATATCAAACCTGTAAGCTAGCTCTGAAATGAAATTAATAAAAAGCCTGAAATATATCATTATTTAATTTAATTTGAATAATAATGCCTATTATTGTCATTAAAACAGAATCAGAAAACCCTTATCGTTGTGATGTAATAGCTGTAAAAGGGATTTTCATGGCATTATAATGGGATGCTCCTGATGAATGACAGTCACATATTTCAAACAGGAACTAATCGTATTTTTCAAAGTTAAGCAGTTTTAAGGATTTCTAATAGTTTTTTATACGCCCGTCAAATTTGACAGAAGTATTATGGTATGGGGTTGTCCGTCTGTCCGGCGTAAACTTTTGTTTGTCCGGCAATCTCCTCCTACATTTTTTCGACCGATGTCTTTGAAACTTGGTATACATTATAATCAGGATATGAAATTGTGTCTCTCTTAAAAGAATTTTGATTTGATAAATTTTCCAAAAGTTATTCCCCTTTGGTCATTTCAGTATTTGATTTTTTGTCCGGAGATCTTCTCCTACATTTTTTGAAGGATTTCTTTGAAACTTAGTAGGCTAAATAATCATGATATGTTGTTGTGTCAACTATTTTTGCAAAAGTTATTGCCCTTTGTTTATTTCAGTATTTGATTTTTTTCCGGCATTCTCCTCCTACATTTTTTACAGCATGTTAGCTAACCACTCTTAGAATGATGCAGATCTTTTTTCAATGTAAGAAAGTATATTTATAACACTATATGGCATTCGATGGGTGTATATTGTTCCGCCCTGCAGTACTCTTGTTAATGGTGTAGTGGTTTGATAGTGTAGGAGAGTGCAGCATAAGGTTTATGTGTGAAACATAAGTTTGTATATCTTATGATCATAGTTACAGAACACATACATATTAATGAGAACCGGAAAGAACATAAAATGCTCTTTTTTGCATTTTTTCTATGGTTTGGAATAATCTGCAGTATTTTATGTCAGTATTAGTATATTTTATCAAACTACTGTTTTAGTAACACTTAATCCTCTCTTTTACAGACCTTTGGAGAAAAAGTCTCTGCGTAAAACAATCCGACAGTACAAGGGACAAAACCAGGGGGAACTCTCTTTTGAGGAGGGCAGCTTTATCATGGAAATCACGGAGGTATCAAAACTATGTTATTGACTAAATAGCTCCTAATTTCAAGGCATCACGAGGCGGAAGTTGTATTATAAAGCTTTATTGTCAATATAATAGTTTAATTTGTTTACTCTGTGTATTTTACCTCGGGTCATCATTTTAAATTACTGCTTAGACTCCGATGCATGCCTGGAAACATGCCCTCCCCTTAAAGGGTTGTTTGTTAATCTTCTAGGCCAGATAAAAAGGAAAAAAGTTTGAGTTGAGGATTTGGTCCGTATCACCATGAGTATCAGAAAAAACATTGAACAAGACGTGATTCAGTATTGCCAATTAACTGATTGGGGAATTCAGAATGCCCTACAATACTTTGATATGTTGTTAATGTTTTAAACCTGTGTTGTATTTCAAATGCATAACAACTTTGGACCACATGCAAATGATAATCATGAGATGCTCACTTTGAGAGAATTCAGATTTGTAGCCCAATTGTATACACAATTATATCAAGCTAATGTACATGTGTACATTATTATACAGTTATGGACTTTTGTGCTGGTGAATATGATGTGATATGAACCTGAAAAAGTGATATTGACCGAGACGAAGCCAAGGTCAATATCAATTTTTAGGTTCATATCACATCATATTTACCAGCATAAAAGCCCATAACTGTTTTATTATATGCTTCAACAATAAAAATTTAGTCAGGGTTGAATCAAACAGTTTGGCATCGTAGACATCGGCAAGGTTCTTTTCCTTATAATAAGTATGGGGACACACACTGTGTGGTCGGTGGGGGACACACACTGTGTGGTCGGTAGGGGACACACACTGTGTGGTCGGTAGGGGACACATACTGTGTGGTCGGTAGTGGACACCCACTGTGTGGTCGGTAGGGGACACGCACTGTGTGGTCGGTAGGGGCCACACACTGTGTGGTCTGTGTGGTCGGTGGGGGTCACGGCCTGTGTGGTCGGAGGGGGACACGCACTGTGTGGGCGGTAGGGGACACACAGTGGGTGGTCGGTAGGGGAAACACACTGTGTGGTCGGTGGGGTACACGCGCTGTGTGGTCGGAGGGGGACACGCACTGTGGGGTCGGTAGGGGACACTCACTGTGTGGTCGGTAAGGGACACATACTGTGTGGTCGGTAGTGGACTCCCACTGTGTGGTCGGTAGGGGACACACACTGTGTGGTCGGTGGTCTTTTTCTGTGTTAACAGCATCTTTATCTTCAAGTAGTTTTTGGAAATTTATAGATGTAACGGAGGCAAAGAGTTCGCCAGCAGCCATCCTCTGTTGTCTTCTCACAGATTGTGTTCCGTTCTAACTGAGCATGCCTACGAAAATTTCTGGGGAATTTCCATATATGCTATATTTAGAAATCGATATTCACCGGATAACCAGCTGTCTATATGAGCTTTTGAGGACTGGTCACGTGTATAGAATTCGACCAATGTGATTGTTTGAATTTTTCAAGCATATAGTAAAATAATTTATGGTATATAAGTTGTTTTATTCAGCTTCAACTGCATGGTTTACTTTTGATATCATGAATCATGGAGTATATTGACAAGATTGCTTCCCTTTACAGGACGAAGACAATCCTGGTTGGTTGATCGGGATGTTAGCGGACGGTAGTACAGGCCTGTACCACCAAAGTTTTGTGGAGGAATCACCAGCTGGCAATCAGCAAACTATTGTGTAAAACAAATATCCGCAGTGATAATAAACTTAAAAATATCCACAGCGATAATAAACTTACAAATATTTGCAGTGATAATAAACTAACAAATATCCACAGCAATAATAAACTTACAAATATCCACAGTGATAGTAAACTAACAAATATCCACAGTGATAGTAAACTAACAAATATCCACAGTGATAATAAACTAACAAATATTCACAGTGATAATAAACTAACGGTGATTTCTGCCAAATATTCACAGAGGTAATGTATAAAGTGATGTCTGACAGAGCCACATACAGTCAACAAGGATATATAAAAAGTGACTCAGCGCCGGCCACAACGATATATACCGGAGTATATATAGCATGAAAGTGAAGTCAGGCAAATGTCCAGTTATTATATAAAAAGTGACTCAGCGCCCACAACGATATATACCGGAGTATATATAGCATGAAAGTGAAGTCAGGCAAATGTCCAGTTATTATATAAAAAGTGACTCAGCGCCCACAACGATATATACCGGAGTATATATAGCATGAAAGTGAAGTCAGGCAAATGTCCAGTTATTATATAAAAAGTGACTCAGCGCCCACAACGATATATACCGGAGTATATATAGCATGAAAGTGAAGTCAGGCAAATGTCCAGTTATTATATAAAAAGTGACTCAGCGCCCACAACGATATATACCGGAGTATATATAGCATGAAAGTGAAGTCAGGCAAATGTCCAGTTATTATATAAAAAGTGACTCAGCGCCCACAACGATATATACCGGAGTATATATAGCATGAAAGTGAAGTCAGGCAAATGTCCAGTTATTATATAAAAAGTGACTCAGCGCCCACAACGATATATACCGGAGTATATATAGCATGAAAGTGAAGTCAGGCAAATGTCCAGTTATTATATAAAAAGTGACTCAGCGCCCACAACGATATATACCGGAGTATATATAGCATGAAAGTGAAGTCAGGCAAATGTCCAGTTATTATATAAAAAGTGACTCAGCGCCCACAACGATATATACCGGAGTATATATAGCATGAAAGTGAAGTCAGGCAAATGTCCAGTTATTATATAAAAAGTGACTCAGCGCCCACAACGATATATACCGGAGTATATATAGCATGAAAGTGAAGTCAGGCAAATGTCCAGTTATGATATAAAAAGTGACTCAGTGCCCACAACGATATATACCGGAGTATATATAGCATGAAAGTGAAGTCAGGCAGATGTCCAGTTATTATATAAAAAGTCCGACAATTATCCACTGTGATGGATAAATTCAGCCAAACATCTAGTGTAGCTTAAAATGTGACCAAACATCCCCACGGATAAATCTTTAAAACTTGATTCAGCAATTCAATAAAATAACTTCACGGAGATGGGTCTGACAAATGACTTCACGGAGATGGGTCTGGCAAACGACTTCACGGATATGAGTCTGACAAACGACTTCATGGAGATGGGTCTGACCAACGACTTCACGGAGATGGGTCTGACAAACAACTTCACGAAGATGGGTCTGACAAACGACTTCACGGAGATGGGTCTGACAAATCACTTCACAGAGATGGGTCTGACAAACGACTTCATGGAGATGGGTCTGACCAACGACTTCACGGAGATGGGTCTGACAAATCACTTCACGGAGATGGGTCTGGCAAATGACTTCACAGAGATGGGTCTGACAAACGACTTCACGGAGATGGGTCTGACAAACGACTTCACGGAGATGGGTCTGATAAGCGACCTCACGGAGATGTGTCTGACAAACGACTTCACGGAGATGGGTCTGACAAACGACCACGAAGATGGGTCTGACAAACGACTTCATGGAGATGGGTCTGACAAATGATAAACCATTGTGGACATCAATCCTATGATAAAGATGCAAGTGGTTCATGGACATCTGGTCCTAAGCAGTTGTGGCAATCAGACCACTCAAAATTTATACAGAGATTTAGTCCTGGAGATGTTTTCATGAAACAGTGGAGTGGACTTCCCGGGATGTTTGCACGGACAACAGGATATATGTTATAAAACGAAATTCTGATGAGAACAGTTCGGTGACATGGACAGCTTGGATGATAAACTCACAGTGTTCTACATCAGTCCCTATTGTGAAACAGTAGACCTTTCACAGAAGCGTCATTAGACGACATAGGGCTTAACAAATCATGGTAATTTTAATTATTTTGTGTGAGTTTTGTTGGAAGATTTTCAACAATATGTTATTGAAAAAAAATCCACCGGAGGAAGATATGGAATTTCTTCTACAAGATTTTGAACACCCGAGTAACAAGCTAAGGATACGGAATGTCTTGTGATCTGAACTTCCTTCATTGTTGGCCATGTGTCATTTGTAGAAAAACCACAGGCCTCCTGCTTCATCATCTAAAAGATCATCAGCTTAAATTCTACTTTACAGAGGAAGTGAAATCATTCATGTCTTTCATGTTATCTATGTTTGGATCAGCGTGATTAATTGTAGCTGTTTCACAAGTTGTCTTCCTATGCAAACATTTTAATGAAAGATCAACTTAGAAATATCATAAGTGACAGAAATATCATAAGTGACAGAAATATCGTAAGTGACAGAAATATCATAAGTGACAGAAATATCGTAAGTGACAGAAATATCATAAATATCATAAGTGACAGAAATATCATAAGTGACAAAGTGTTGTCATATGATTTCCATATTTAAATTCATCATGTACATGTTTGTCAAAAGAAAATTTCAATAGTTAATCAGCTTTCATGTGTGTTGTCTGCTGATATGTTTTTCAGATTTAGATACTGTAAAGATTTAGTGCACACACGCGTAGAGGCTCAGATCTGTGCTGTATACTGGTAGATCATTTTTAGGTCTTATTTTTTTACCTGCTTTAGTAGATTTTTGTAATTTTTTACATTTCACTCATATTTGAGTCTTCAAAGGATGCTTACAAGTTTATCATACTCACACAGTTTCTTAATCATGGTACACTGGGATAGTTGTTAGAGATTGGTACACTGGGATAGTTGTTTCAGTAAAGCTGTGAGCAGGTTAATGATGTTATATCATACATTGTAAGTTATACTCGTTAACAGGTTGAACAGGGTAAGATATTTAGAGCATAGGCTTGTAAGGGTATTTTTGTAATTCACGTACTACATGCATTTTCTCTAATGATAAACTAGGAAAGCAGCCTAGTTTTAAAAGTTCACGTTTGAATCTGTTGACCATGTGAAGGTATCTGAAAAAACAGTAATCTCATTAAACATGACACTGTACAAAGATATGTGTAGTGTATATATAATAAAGAGTTGAATATTCGTCTCAGAGAAAGGTATCTCTGTTAACATTATTGTCTGTCTCACATTACGTATGTTTTTATAAAATATTACATAAACATGTACAAAATTATTGCTATTGTCAAGATTTGAATTGCTAGTAAATCTTATTTCAGCAATATCTGTTGACTTAAATAATGTTTGTAAAATTATTTCTGAATTCCAATATTTAAAATAGTTTCTAATATAAACCAGGCCAAGGATTACATGGGTGATAAGAGTCCAATGTTAGTTGTCTGTTTTGTTTTAGAGAATGATGACGTGTGAAGAATTCTGAATTTAGAAGTACCCCTATGTGTTGTTCTAGTTAAGAAATACATTTATAATTGTATATCAACCTTGTCAATTTTTATTTCTTTTTGTAAGTATTTGTACAGAATATACAAACAATTTTCAGTAAAATATGTTTGTATATCACACCAAGGGGAAATTTGGGCTTGGTTGCTTCAATCATGATTATATGTTCATTAATTTAACAACGTCTTTATGCAAATTGACAACTTAATGCAAATCTTTCAAAGAATATTTTCTCAAAAACTTACTTAAGTTAATAACGGAAGTGTATATGTATTCAGTATAAGGACTCAAAAAAGCTCAATTGTAGCACGAAACACAAAAAGGTGTTGGTTGATTTGCAGATAAAAAAATAATCAAAACCTGTATTTTTTAAGTTGTGTTATACTACTTGTGAAGGAAGTCTGTGGACATTTGAGCCCTGCAATTTGTTTGTGGTAGATATACATCATATATTTATAAGTTGATGATCATGTAACATTTCTTTGTCAGGGAACAAATATAAGACTTACACAACACTTCACAATGAACACGTTGTATTAAAAACATGTTCTTTTGTGTTGTAGATGTTTTAGAGTTTAACTTTCCATAAATTCAGACAGTTTGACATAAAGGAAATGTTGTATTTTTTGTCTACTTGTTCCTTGCCAAATAAAAAGCCAGATCTGTTCATTTAAAAAAAATCACTATTTTGACTGAATCCTGTTATCTTGTTTTTTGAATTAATGAACTAAACTGTGTACATATGAGTTTGTTACTATGCTAAAGTTCATTCATATAGGTGCTAGAGAATGCATATTAAAGGGGAACAACTCCTGCCCTGATTTTTTTCACAAAATGTTCAAATTTATACCAAAGACCTGTTTACATCCTTATAAGTTTTAAGTTAATAACCTGAATTTTATGAATATTTGCAAGTTAGATTCAAGTTGATCACTCTTTGGTTTTTATTACTACAGTGCCTATTGTTGTATCATTGTGTTACATGTTTACTCTCTAGTGCTGTATTCACCCCCGGTGCTATTGTTATTAAAATAGGAGAACTATATACTTAATACATGTACTTACATTGTAGTTAAAGTTAGTCTGCAGTAGCAAAAAGAGTAATAGAGGCCCTCTGGGCCTTTTGTTTGATATTATTAACACAGTGCCTTACCCAAACATACCTGTTGAATACTCCCAACTTTTCTGTGTGTTTCTATAGCCAAACCTCAAACGATTCATGGCTAATTGATTTAATGTATACGTTATATAGACTTATTGCATCTTCAAAAAGTAGATACTTCAGAATAAATACTTGTATGTTCTTTTATCTATGGGTATCTTGTCAGAAGAATGTTCTACCAGGGATAACTCAACAAAATCAAATAATCATTACCATTATATTAAATTTGGAGTATCTCAGAAATGAGTTCCTTTCCAAACTGAAATGATAAGATTTGTATTTTTAATTTGAAAGCAATGGTAAAACAGACAATTTTATGAAAGATTTGAAAGATTAATTTCAATAAAATGATTCTGCGTTATAGTTCTCTGTCATGAGTGTTTTAGTTCCTGTTTGATGAACAGTGTAATGCTACCATTCCATTCTTAGTCCCTTTCACTTTGTTTCATGTCCTCAACTTATACAAGTTCCAAGCTACTTATTGTGTAGATGAATATTCTAATATAGAGTTTTACTGTACTTTATTTTTTTATATTATAATTGTCATACAAATGTTTCAAATTTTATTTTGTAAATTTTGAATATAGTGCTATCTCCAATCTAGTCACTCATTTAAAAAAAGACATAATTAAACAAATTTTATTTTGGCTATCTTCTTAAGTTTAGGTAATGCATTTTATTTTGTTTCCATGTTCTTGTTTCCCATAAATGATTTCTGCAATAGCATTCCCATTCTATCTAATCCGTACCCAAACAAGTAAGTGTGAACACTATTTTATATTGAAACAATGAGACGTCAAGTTATTACCATGGTAATCCAAATATTAGAAAATTCTTCAGTTCCTTATCAGATTTGAGAGCTTTGATGTTTTATGGTTAAATCATGGTTAGTTATAACTAATCTTTACAACTAAAATAACTTGTTTGTTTGAGAAGTTCTTCCAAGTAGTTGGGTTATCAAGCAGACGATAATACAAATCTAATATAAGATGGTTATATAAAGCCACCAGTATCACCAATAATCATGAAAAAATAACACATTTGATTGGATCAAAGACCGTAGAAAGGGTTGACAATACAACTTTGTCGTTATAATTAACATGTATGTTTAGATGTAGCGTGATCATAGATGTAGCGTGATCATGTTTAGATGTAGCGTGATCAATGTTTAGATGTAGCGTGATCATGTTTAGATGTAGCGTGATCATGTTTAGATGTAGCGTGATCATATTTAGATGTAACGTGATCATGTTTAGATGTAGCGTGATCATGTTTAGATGTAGCGTGATCATGTTTAACCGTGTGTGGGTAGTCACTATATCTCCACCATATTTTACAAGGAGCTCCAAAATGATGTGAAGAGGGACTTGTTATAATAATACAAATATAACAGGATTTAAAACGAAAACACAAGTGCCAAATAT